CCTTGCTGTTTTTCTACATTTCGTAACTTAATTTATGTATCTGTCTTCCTCTCTTACTCCTCTTCGGCCTCTTATAAATATGCATCAAGGAGTCTTGGATTAGGGGCAAGGATCCGTTTCTAAAGCACAGCATGTGTGTGTTTGGGTGAGAGTGTGTTTGTGTGTGAGTGGGTGCATGCATGCTTGAGTGTGTGTGTTTGTGTCTTAAGCCAGGCAGAGCAGAATACGGCCCGCTGTAAGCCCAGGCGTGTGTGATTTGTGTGAATGGGTTTAGGCTGCGCTGATAGGCGGCGTCTTGGACACTAGATGACCAGACGCTTCATGGACAACGCAGGCTGTCCTGCTAAAAATATCAAGGTAAGACCACACTGCCTGTCTTTTTACCCATAATTTCATTCCCAGCGGGTTCATCATTTACAATCACTGTTCAGTTCATGTCTATAAATCAATGCTGATCGCTATCTCTGTAACACATGTGGGTTAGCCAGGGTCCTGTGACATAAGCCACGATTTACTAGGTGAGAGGTGTTTTTATTATTTTTTAAATTTTAAATTTTTTTATTAATTTCTTTTTGAGGCCTCTCATATTATTCACTTATCCTCATCTGTAATATTTTAATGGCCTCTAGGAATTTGGAATTGGATTTATTATAATCTGTCAGATTTGGGATACAAATAAGAACATTTCCAGATTTGGGGAATTAGTTATTTAATTAGATGTTTTATGCTTTAATGTATAATTTGGAATGTGTGATTTGCACAAATAAAAGACAAAATCCAAAGTCTTAATGACATCTGTATTTTATTTTTGATTTAAATGAAAGAGAAAATATATATGGAACTATGATTTTGGGCAAACCTTTCATTCTTTCTCTGTATTTACTGAAGAAATTAAAGGAATGTTTCATTTTCTAATAATGTATATTTTATAGTGCAGGAGAGACTCAAAGAAGGGAACCCATATAAAAGCTAGTTGTTTTACTTATTATCTATCCTTTCATTCTTTATCAGTTAAATTTAGTTAACACTGAATGAAGAATTGTCTGTGGTTATTTTCATATTATCTGGCACTGTTTAACAGGTCAGTTGCCACCGTTCACTTGAGCACACAAAATGTCGGCAGTAAGCTGTTTTTTCAAGAAATCCCAAAATAATGAACACAAGGCAAGCCATAACCCTTAACCACCTGCAGGTCAAGCCTCTGCCACTTTTCAGGGGAAACTTCAGTATTGTACTTTACAGAATTTTTGAAATTTTCAGCTCAGAAATCTATTGGGAAAGGAAATACTGACTTGCAGACAGTAAGGTTGTGTTGTCCTATTAGACCTATTCAGAATAGTTACAGTACAAAGCCTATCTAATAATCATTTGTCACATAATTAATGAGGTGGTACTGTTTGCAAATAAAGGTGGCCTGGAAAATATCTTTCCACCGTGACATCTCAGAGATGCTGTGTACAATATCACTCCCACCTATAAGGATCACATCATGACTGCAAGGCCATTAAGGTTTAGCAAAATGCAAAATGCAATGCAAAAGAACAATAACACGTTTACTTCTCTCACTCTCATATACCGTTTTCATTTTCATCATTAGTGTTTCTGCCTCAGAAAGAAAGGGGACGCAGGATGTTTCGTGTCACATTGCCTGGCTTGCTTTTTAAAAAGTGTGATGTCTTGCATAAAGAAATGCATTTTTTGTTAAATTAACTAATTAATATAATTAACTTTTATCCTGTAATGAACACTATGACAGTAGCCTCTGAATTTCAGGCCTTTTTTTTAACTGTACAGTATAATTATGTAATGTTTACTCAATTTGATTGTCCTGTGGTATTTGAACCATTGTCGTCAGTAGACTCAGATCAGCTGTAATCTGTCCTCGCATGCCCCATGGGTTGTCTTTATTTTTAGTAGCTGCGCGTCACTGTACAGAGAAGTTGTAACATACTGGTCCATCACAGAGCGAGTTTATGTCTGCAGTTAAGGTATAAGTAAGATGTCAAACTCCTAAGGTGTGTTGCCAATCTTTTGTATTAGGTATTGTAGTGATACAGCAGTTTAGCAGGTAGCAGGTTTAGATGTACAGACTAGGAAGAAGGAGTACAGTAATGGTTCTTCAAGTTGAAGGGGAGAAAAATGATATAAAGCTGAGACAAATCAAGGCAGGGGTTTGTGAATCTGAAACAGTGAGGTCTCTGTCTGTAAGATTAACAGCATGTACATGACCGCAGGAGTAATGTAAAGTAACCAAAGTAATTATGATAAACCACAGTAACTCCTACATTACAAAGTACCTATGACACAAGTAAAAGATGAACATACTGTAGAAAGCCCTTTGCTTGCATGACCACACATCTTTTGAGCCGACCTGTGGTCAACATTTTGGTGTTGATTGTCTGTGTTGACTGTGTGATTATTGTTTATGTAGTTCAGAGCTGTCTCAGGTTTGTGACTGTGCCAATGGACAGATTTTACACTGTCATGGTAGGAGCTAAAGGGCCATAATTTAATAATGCCCACATTGACATTTCCCAACTTTTCGTTTAACCACAACACAGCAAATGGAAGTAAATATCTCTGTTAGAGCAGGTTACTGCACATGGCTTGATAATTTGCCACTTAAAATGTGTTTGTATGTCCATTTATCAGACTGCCCCTCAGTCTGGGACATTTAAAAGCCAAAAGTGTTTTTCTTTTTTCCTGGGAGTAGTTTCCTCTTAAAGTACTACAAGTTCCAGTGAATATTAGTGTTGTTTGTGCAGATGTGGCGGGAAGTGTAAAGGCTTTCATACTAGCAACTAATGCACTGAACAGTTTTCTGCCCCCTTGTCTGGCTGCACTTGCACTGTTTATTTTTCAATTAGCAAGGGCTCAAGTTGGCATGAAGTTCGGTGGGCATGGGAAACTATAGCCCACGCTTGTGGAGCACAGTAGAAACCTAAGTTCTCCAGTTGAAGGATGGTCTGTCTTCATGAACTGTCCCCAAGAGACTGATTCCTGAAAGGATGAAGAATTTTTAATCACTTTGTGCCTGGCCTTTTTTTAACAGATCCTAATGTTTTTTTTTAGCAGCTTGAAATGAAATTGGTTGTGAGAATTGACTATGCATGCCACAAGAAGCAGAGGAGAAATGTTCCTTTCATTCCTTTGTTGTGTTTTTACACAACAATGATTACATTCAGTGATTCATTGTTTTTATGAATGTAATATTTTGTCAGTGGCATTTTTTTTATAGCTATGTTTTTTTATCAGTATATAGGCCAATATAAGCTTATCGCAGATCTGTATTGGTGTAATTGTCGGCCATTAAGAAACTGCGCTACAGAAATGCTAAATCAAGTTTGAGGTCATATGGAAACATTACATCTCCATTACATATTTTGTCCACCAGAGAGCTCTGATAAGACTCAACAAGTCCTCTATGGACGAGATAGCACATTTTTTAGTCTTGTTCTTTTTCACTTGCCAGTGTTAACTTCTCTATCAGGCATTTCACATAGAGATTAAAATAAGAAAAGGAAAGTTGGCTGAAAATGCTGAAAATCTACAACTGTCAGGAGTCCAAGAATGATTCAGGAAACCCCCTGAGAGTTGCCAAAGCAGACTCTGATAAGCACATTTTACTCAACCATTCCAGACATCTTTATCCCGGACTATAGGGTGTTGGTCTGTGTTTAATAACAGCTAGGTTACAAATGCTGGCACAGAGCCCAAAGCTTTTTGAGTTGTTTTTAGATTAACAGATACACTGAGCAGGCGCCCTTCTGGGACCTCATGGGGATTTCAGGACCAAATACTCATGAGTTGATGTACAGTTCACAATGGGGATCTTTCAAATTCCACTATGAAATATGGTTTAATTACTCATTCAACTTTTCATAAATGACAACAAGGATTGCTCTAACTCAACCATGTGAATGCAGATATAGTTTATATAGCATGGGTATGCGTGAGAAAGTCTTATTACATGCATGCATGCTTTTGTTTGTCTGGCGTTTGTGTCTGTCTGTGAAATGAAGTCAAAATGCAACACAGACAGAGACTTGTTGCCTGCTTTTACAATTTGTTTTTGTTCTTTTTCTGTATATTTAGATTTTCTTTAAAATTGCTGCAGCAAGTTTACTTTTCTTTTAAACACACTGTTGTTATCTTCTAAATTCTGCAAATAATGTATTTTGCAAGTGTTTGCCTTTTAAATATTATTTGATAAAATACCTTATCTTCGGATAGCTAAACTGACTGAATAGAACAGGATGCAAAAGTTATGGGGTCGAAGCAGCCAAAGCCTAATCTCCTTAGCAGGTGTACATGATGACATGAGGAAAGAACTTGAAAAGTAGAGGAGAAGAAGTGAGAGGAGGGACCAAAGATTGAAGGATGATGATGAGTGAAGTGAAAGCATAATTAGTTAAGGAAAGAAAATGGAAAAAGAGGGAGTGTGGAACTCCAGCAGGGCTTTATTTCAATATGTGCGTGTGTGTGTGTGTGTGTGTGTGTGTGTGTGTGTGTGTGTGTGTGTGTGTGTGTGTGTGTGTGTGTGTGTACACATGAAACAGACCTGACACAGAGCCCCACACTGCGGCACAACTACTCAAGAGTAGGACTTACCCTGTCTGCGGTGTGTATGTGTGTGTGTGTGTGCGCATGCGTGTGTGCGTGCTTTAATGAGTTCTGCCATGCCCATACTGTGTCAGAGCTGTTCCACAGTTCATTATTGCTCTTTGTATTGTCATTATATCAAAACAAACTTCAAAGTGTGCATGTCTGTGCTCGCATAATGTTCCCCCTGCATCTGAGCGCATGCATCCATCTCTCATGTCGTCTATCTCTGCATACTGTACGTCTGCGCGGCCATGCGTCTCTGAACGCAGTATGTGTGTAAGTGTGTGTGTGGTTGCAAGTCAGTGAGAGAGGGACAACAAGGGAGGGAGAGAGAGTGAGAGAGAGAGAGACATGAGAGAGGTTTGAGAGCTCAATGGGCAAACAGTGTCGTGATGTGCTGGTGCACACTGATTCTCTGGCAAGTTTTTGCAACACCACAGGATTCTTTGAGTTTTGAGTAGAAGTTGCTGCTGCTGCTCTTTGTGCATGTTGTAGCCATCACAGGTTCTACTTGTTCTCTTTTACCATCTCCAGAGGTAATGTATGCATGTGAGTTGGGATAAATTACCACTGTCTTTACTGTGCTGTTTATTTTAAGGGAATTACCTCAAAAGTGCCAGTGTGGCGAATGATTTGTCTGTAGTTTAAGCAGAGTTCACTAAGATGATCAATTGCTCAAAAGAGTGCCTACATTTTTAATGTTGGTTGTTTTACAATATCTCATTATATTTTCCCTGCATGTCCTCTTTCAGTCTATCTTTGAAGAAATCTTGATGTTATCTCTTTCTTTATTAAAGTCCTACATAATGGAACAGAAAAAGATTATTTTTAAAATGATATCATGTAATGACTAATGACTTGAAAGTTTATGTACAGTATCCCTCTGTAGTATTGGTTTTTGAAGAATGGAACATGGAAAAAATATATGTCAAACTTTATTTGAATTATATACAGTATGTTACTTCATGGTTTTTTTCAGCCAAGTGTGTTTAGTATTTCATCAGGCAGATGTTTGCTTTTCTTTTCTTCTATTGTGAGGCAGTGTGGCAGCTGATACAGCGTGAGCTATACAGATAACTGTGAGTTAACTGTAGTTGAGAAGATGACCGTTTTACAGTTACATATTTTTTGATAAATTAAAGTTAATGAACATTTCATTTTATCTTCACATTTCTTTTAAGTTGCTACCTTTCAGGCAGAAATTGTCAGATTTCCATCAAGTTTAAGCTTCTCAAGCATCGTAAACTTTGTCAGACCAGAAGGAGCGTACTGTATTTCTATGAGACTGTGAGGATTCAGATGGAGATGAAGTCATTGTTGTGATGAAGAACTTATGATTGCTTTCATCGGGAAGTAAAAGTATGGTTTGTATGAAAAAAATGTTTGTGTTGGTTAGTCTGTGTTTCCCGCTCAGAGTCCAGGTACAGGACAGGGTTTTTGGTTGTGTGGTAGTCAGATGTTTGTGTGGAGTGAATATCGTGCCTTGTAAAACTGCTGGACACTCGTTCTTAATTAAGATAATGGCATTCCATGTAAATTGAGTCTTCCTACATTCTGGCATTCATTACTAATTGAGCTAACACTATAAACAATCTAATCCACTTTTAAACGGCTCTCTCAGTTTGACCCATTACTCATGTGATAGCATTGTGGATTGGATGTTAAGTATTTGTGGATTTTCTGTTGAAAATTCAATGGCTGTGTTGTCAATGTAATTTGCTGCCAATGTAAAAACTATATTTTTGCTGAATTTAAAACTAATCATAGAGTTTTATGAAGCTGTTGAAGAACAATTTCTAATCTAAGTATTTGAATGGTATTGAGATTGCTCCGCCTCACTGACCTCTCACATAATTTACAAAATGGACAAAGGCTACTTATTCAGGACTCTTGACATAGAATAATACTTGACGCACTGATGTTGACAGAGTTGTAGATGTACATCCTTATGAAAGTCTTGTGTATGGATTATGTTTAATATATCAAGTAATTAGAATTAAACATTTAATTAAGAAATAAAGGAGATAAATGTGCTCTACTCTCTCTATACTGTTTACTGTCTATGCTGTATATACTGACTGCAGATATGTGAAATTCTGTCATCTAAAACATCTGAAATAGTATTACTAAGTGTAACTTAATAACATCTGATTTTACCCAATGATGAATACAGACAAATATGAACCATAAATAAAGAAGAACCACATTTTAAAAGGTAATGAACTGGTTTTACCATGAGGTAAAACAATAAATTACATTTTTTTTTCTCCCTTCTATTGTCTGGTTAGAGCACATGACACCCAAAATAACTAAGAAACAACCTCTTGAGCATATTTGACTGATGTTGAAGCTTTTGCTTTGATATTTTGAACAGTTTGCCCTTGGTGACATTCAAGGTGGCAGTCTTTTTTAACGTCTCCACATTTTCACTTGTTTTCTATCTTTCAAAGTTTTTTCTTGTGCTTCCAGCCCTTAAAAATGCTGCTGGTGCTTGTATTTATTCTCTAATTTCTCCATTTTATACAGCTTTGATCAGATAAGCATTGAAACAGGTTATGCAACTGAGAGATAGCGTGTAATGAGAAACATGACGGAGTAAATGCTAAGTAAATCAGCATGTCCCAGCACAATCACCTTGATTTGTACTGTTTTTTTATGAGAAGTATATTTCTCCTGCAATGTTTTACCCCCATTAAGATTTAGCCTTTTACTCATAGTAAAACACATAAGACAAGACCTAATGACCTAATAATTCAGGCAGTTGTGGCATGTAGAAAAACAAATAGACTTTATAATTTATATAAATTTACTGAAAAGTAATTTAAAACTGCCAAACTCTTTTCCTGTGACTTATCTGTGTATTTTCTCTGTGTGTGTTGCAGTGTGTCCTCTGTGTGTGTCCCATCACTGAGTGTCACAGAGGACGAGCCGTTTGTGGAGAAGATCCAAGATTCTTGTAACTTTTCTGCTGGCCACATCCTGTTCAAACACATCTCTCTTCTTGTGTACCCTCCTCTCTCTGTCCTTACTGCCTGCTCTTATTCCCTCTTGCTCAACAGACTCTTACACATTCGAGTCCTCTCCTACATACACACACCTCCCCTTATTCTGGCCCCATTTTTCTGCTTTTAGCTCTCCTCTCCTGTTCCTTTTCTCCTCTACCTGTCCAAGACGGACAGTCCCTGGTTTTCCCACATTTGTCTTACACCACCACTGCATAATTCCCTCACTCTCCTAACCCCTCTGTTCCCCTAATGGGCACCATATCAGAGAGTAGTGCCACATTCCCTTCATCGTCACTGAGAACCTCTCTCCACCCCTAACCGCCTCGCCAACAACAACCTCAACACAACCCAATGGAGACAAAAGATATGATGATGACGAGCATGTTGACAATGGACAAGGGCGAGAATGAGGGTGAGAGGGACAAAGGGAGAGAGGAGGTGGGGGGAGAAGAGGAGGGCACACAGCAGGAAAATGGTAGACTTATGCTGGCTGATGGTCTTGCAGAGAGAGGACCCAAGAACCTGAACTCAGGCTCTGGCCAGCAGGTGTCCAATGGCTTCTCTACATCCACCCCTCAGAGCCCCAGGGAGGGACCAGGGACCGCAGCTTGCGCTGGGGGTACAACCTCTGGGTCTGGAGGCGGCACCGGGTCCTCTGTGCCGCTGGGAGGCCTCAGGACTCTGGTGGTCCAACAAACCAGCTTGGAGAGGCCCAGAGAAACCTGGAGCAAGAAGATGGACTTCTTGCTGTCTGTAATCGGCTACGCTGTCGACTTGGGAAATGTCTGGCGCTTCCCCTACATCTGCTACCAGAATGGAGGAGGTGAGGAGGCAAAAATGAATGAGAGAAAATAGGGAGAGGGAGATAAGGAGCGTGATGGAAAGGAGATAAGAGTACATGAGATCACATTCTAGAGTAAACAGGATTTCAAGGACTAGAAAGAAGAAAAGGCTCTTTCTTGGTTTGAATTGAAATACACTGTAATTCACAATATTTGCAAAAGCTGAGGTGAGTGAGTTTACTAGCCTGTAACTTTTTCCATCATAAAACACGGAGATAGATGGAGTTTATCTCTGGTATGTCATCATTACAGCAAAATAAACGCCTAAACAAAAAGATGTTGACCTACAAGGAGTGCTGCAGTTAACAAAGTTGTTTATGAATAGCACTTCATTTAGCTTATTTCAAGGTGAGCATGTGTTTTCAAAGTCTGTGTCTTCCACCACCGTTACTGTGTTACGCTGTTACTACACAATCCTCACCTAGCAGCAAACAGGGCCTCCCTTTCTACTTTTATTGAATTTGCAATAATAAAATCTTTGTAATTTCCTGTGTTCTGTGTCTCTCTCACGGAGCGAGGTAGAGATGGGGACTGGGAGACACTTGATAGAGGCAACAGTATTAATTGTGGTTTTTATGAGAACTCCTTTAGTCTCTTTCTCCTTGCTTAATAACCTGTCTCCCAGGCAGCTGCTCAATCAACCCTTATCTTTGCTTTCATGTCACAAAGAGACAGAAGCACGCATGTACACACCAGCCCATCTACATACACAAATGCACACATGCACATAATATAAGTTGATAATCTGATGGAAAGAAAGAAAGAGAGAGATGTGTTATCAAACTCTGCATGTTTGGCTGGAGAGTCCTGAGATCTGGCTGCAATCCTACTGCTCCTCTGTTCTCCAGTGTTTGGTTTTACCTAAATCTCCTTTCATCACTTTTATACTTTCCTTACTTAGCAATAACAAAGCCAATGTCGCAGTAGGCTGATTTGTCAATGGAGAATTTAAACGAAATGACCCAGAGCACATTAAATGCAGAGTAATGTGAAACTGGGAAAACAATGCTTTGTTATTTTTGAAAGCACTACAGTTATGTAAATAATAAGGTACTTACAAATTTTTATGATTTTTACAGAGTGCTTTTTAATGTTCTTGGTTCTTGTTGATTGGGGGTTATTGAAAGGACTACTGAGATTACAAGTGGAGTGTGAACGAGTAGCATGTCCCATGAGTGTAATTGACCTTTTTACTGTTCTTCTATAACTCTTTCTTCCTTTCAATTTTTCCCCGCTTTCTCTTTTCTCAATGTTTTCATCTTCCCCACATCTGTCCCCACATTTTTTCTCCCTCTCCACTTCTTCATTTCTTACCTCCAACCCGGTTTTCTACTCTTAATTTCCCTCCCTTATTTCCAAATTTCCCCATGTCTCTGTCTAGGTGCCTTTTTGCTGCCCTACATGTTGATGGCGGTGTTTGGAGGTGTGCCTCTCTTCTACATGGAACTGGCTCTTGGTCAGTTCCACCGCAGTGGCTGCATCTCCATCTGGAAACATATCTGCCCCATATTTAAAGGTAAAAGAGGGACTGGAGAGAACAGAACAGATTGAGAAATCAGTTTATAACAATGGCTTGGGTAAAAAAAAAAAAAAAAATAGGAAGAAAACAGTGAAATTGGTAAGACGAAGACCGACTGTGTCAAGTCAGAGTCTGTGAGACAGCTCATTTAACCTTCTTGTCCCCGTCAGTACAGCCCCCTTGAAGAGCATCTCTTACATCTTGAACATCTAGTGAGATGTTCTGACTCTCTGTTATGGAAATTGTCACATTTCCATGCCAAATGCCAGATGCTCAGAAATCTGATAGTATGTAAATTGTTGTTGTTTGGAAATGTCACCCACTTGCCCAATAACAACTTGAATTAGCTTGAAAACACCAAAGATGTCTGCAATATCTGGGGAGTGGCTGACTGATGTCGCATACTATGGACAGTTTTTTTTTAAGTAAAATGTACATATATGTACATAGTTAAAGATTTAATGTTTGGTTTTTTTCACTGTTTTGTACTAACAGTCATCTTTTCCACTCATCCAGGGATCGGCTTTGCCATCTGCATCATAGCCCTCTACATAGCCTTCTACTACAACACCATCATGGCCTGGGCCTTGTACTACCTGCTATCATCATTTCGGCCCACCCTGCCCTGGTCCACCTGCACCAACAGCTGGAACACAGCCAACTGTAACCGCTACATGTCCACCGACCTCAATGTGTCGTGGTCCAACTCCTCCAAATCCCCTGCCGAGGAGTTCTATACGTAAGTGCATGTAAGTCGGATGTAGAGGCGTACGGGGAGAGCAACACAGGAGGGAGACGTCAAGTGAAGGAGGGAGGATGACTTCCAGAGAACGATCACAGGGTTGGTTCTGGTGTTTAAGAGCCCTGACAGATTTACCGCCAGCACTCTCCCCAAAATCCACTTGCTTCGCAGACTGTGAAGGCATTGTAGGGAGGTTAGCATTTCAGAATAAGAGTTGCCGTTTTGATCCAAGACGGTCAGAAATATACAAGTAACACAGAAGTAACTTTCTAATCATGTATGTATAATTGAAAACAGAGGAAATGTACCACTGAAAGACCTGTGGAATAGGAATTTAAGGAAGGACAGAGCAATTACTGTGGTTGCAACAACGTGGAAAAAGTGACTAGATGATTTTAAGATGGGGAACAGAGATCAGAAAGTTGGCATAAGGAAGTTTTGATGCAGAAATGAAACTTTTCATTCCTAATTGAGTCTAACAATCATGAAAAGGGCCCTTTTTTCACAGAAAATGCTGCTGACATGAAACTAAAACTCATTACCACATATTAAAGTTTTAAGCAATCTTTAGCATGCTGCTTACACATTATCTCAAGTAGTAGCGACAGCCAGGGTTTTAAAAAGCGGGTAGTCAGTACTGACAAAAGTGTTTTTTTTACTGTACTTAAAAATCTGAGGTCTGTCAAAACAATGTCTTCGTGCCTGCGTTGGCCTTATCAGCTACTCACTAGACTGTGTCTGTGTGTGTCCAATGAGACAGATTCATGGCTTATCCGTAGTTGACTTTTCCAAGTACAGGTTTCAAAGTAACAAATTCCGTAAGTCAGAGTCTGGCGCCAGAATTTCCTGTTTTCAACATAAATCATGTCACTGTTTTATCGTCCAAGCTCTGTGTGCTTAACCTGTGACCAGATGTTAACCTCACTGTTAAATTCAAATCTTTTTTGCACCATATTGCGTTTTTTACTTTGGCTTGTGTAAACACTGTTTATTGACATAGATTTGCTATAAAGTCAGTTAAGGTCCTCTGGTATTGTTTTTATCTAGTCTTGCAGTCTTTTACAGACTGCAAGCTGACTTACAGCTCATTTAATCTAAATGTATTGTGGATTGTTTGTGTATGTTTGTCAAGAAATAAGGTTCTATCATTTGTATATTGGACAATGAGTCTATGCAGTACTCTTCCATTTTACTCCTCTTCTTTGTACTATGTCTTATCTTCTTTGTGTTTTTCATTTTCTTTATTCTTTCTATATCACGTCCTTCCTTCCATGCTCTATTCTTTGACTCTACTTTCCAAATTTAAAAAATATTCTATGTCTCCACTGTGTCTTCTCACTTTTGCTTCTCTGTCACTTCTTATTATTCTTGACATTCTTCTCCTTCGCTTCACCTTCCTTTTCCTCTCATCTTCTTCCTTCCCCTACTCTCTTCCTCTTCTTCTTGATCCCTACAACTCCCCATATCTCTTGTCTTCTCTTCTTATGTCATCTCCCTATATGTGCTTCCATGTAATATTACATAATATTAATTTATCCCCATGTGTCCCCTTGTTGCATCCCTTTTGATCTCAACTCTCAACCCAAACATCCCCCCTTCCTTGTCTCCTCCCACCAGTCGCCAGGTGTTGCAGGTCCACCTCTCCCCTGGCCTGCACCAACTTGGCTCTGTCAGCTGGCAGCTGGCCCTCTGCCTGCTCTTCATCTTCACCATTGTCTACTTCAGCATCTGGAAAGGAGTCAAGACGTCTGGAAAGGTAACTGAAGGGGTGCCTGTATGGCTGATGGAGGTGTCAGTTAGAGTGGATGGATGGAGGGATTGATGGAGACAGAGAGGCAGAGAAAAGAACAGTTGTTCTCCTGTCATCTCTTCGCCCTCATTATCATTCATCATCATGGTAGAAAAGTTGGTTAGAAAGGCCGTCTTAAAGTTAAACAGTTTGTGGTTCAAACATCGACAATCAAACCTGAAAAAAACAGGCAGGCCTCAAGTACCCATATTAGAAACTAAGACAAGGTGGAATATTTTTTTTTTAGTTTGTTGCATATCGTTCTCCTCTCTCTCCGAGGGTTTAATGTTTGCATTTCTACTGTCACTGCCAATAAAGTAATCTATAGCAAATGATGTAAATGTACACTTCCACACTTTCATTGCAGTACTCCCTATAATGAATGGATATATTATATGATAGTCATGATTCAACTTATGCACACTTAATAAATCTGCAGTTCCAAACATCCATTATCAAGCAGCTCTGTCCCAGAAATATCCAGTGGTTCATGATAACAGTGTCTTTTACTTTGAAAAAAGTGATCATTGAGCATGAGCAGATATCAGCCACTATGACTTACCTGACACAAGAGTTCATTAACAGAAAGGTAAACCACTGTGTTTTTTTCTTTTCTGCATTAGGTAGTGTGGGTGACTGCAACCTTTCCCTATCTGGTCCTTCTGGTCTTACTCATCCGCGGGGCCACTCTGCCAGGGGCCTGGAGGGGTGTCGTCTTCTATCTCAAACCTGACTGGGAGAAACTGCTTAGCACTGCAGTAAGTCTGAATAAGACTTTATACAGACTTCTGTTACATGTCCTTAACACACACTTTCTCTTACCCTGTTCTATTTCTCTTTTTCTTCTCCGCTGTCTTAATCCACGTTTCTTTGTGTCCCTCCATCATTCACAATCATCGACCTCCCGCGCTCTTCAAGGTGTGGATTGATGCAGCAGCTCAGATCTTCTTCTCTCTGGGTCCGGGGTTCGGCGTACTCCTCGCCTTTGCCAGCTACAACCCATTTCACAACAACTGCTATAAGTGAGATTTTGTTACAGTGTACATACATCAATGAAAGAGTTAAAACCATATGTGTTAAATATCTGTATCACTATCTACTTTGAGATATAGTATCCATACAGGTGGAACCATCACCAAGTCTACTAAGTCTCAAAACTTAAGCAGTGGCCATAAATCTATAAGCAGTGGCTTGATTTATGTTTTTCACAGAGCATCTCTCTAACTTTGTTGTCTTTCTGCCACCCAATCATTTTCTCTCCCCCTCTCCCTCTCAGAGATGCATTGGTCACCAGCTCTGTGAACTGTCTGACCAGCTTTCTATCTGGCTTTGTCATCTTTACCGTGCTGGGATACATGGCAGAAATGAGGCAGCAGGATGTGGATGCTGTGGCCAAGGATGCTGGTAGGATACCACACCAGAGCGCACCCAACAAGAAATTGTTTAACTAGCCTGACATTTTTGGGAAAAAAGCATCCCGCATTGAACTCAAGCACATTTTACCTGGAAAGGATAAAGATTATTGCATGCCAAATATCTGTAAGTGGATGCTTTGACATCACTGAATACAAGAATAAAGGAGTAAGGATGAATTCAACATGACTGTCATTTCTGTCTCAACCAGGTCCCAGTCTGCTGTTCATCATTTATGCAGAAGCCATAGCAAACATGCCTGCTGCCACTTTCTTTGCCATCATCTTTTTCCTCATGATCATCATGTTGGGTCTGGACAGCACGGTTAGTCTGGTATTGTTACACTTTTCTATGCAAAAGTTAACTCCTCAATTGTTACACCCTAATTCCGTCGTTGCCCAGTGGTCTGCTTTTGTGAGCTCCCTCAAACCTAGAAACAGAGGTTTCATATTTGCAGATGCTTTTTTCTGTTTGAGTTGAATGTGTCTGTTGTACTCATTTCTCCAGAAAGGTGTTGGGTATTATTTGTCCTCACTGTTCCATTTGGAATAACAGTCAACAATGTGATAGGACTTTCATATCACTGTTGGGCATTGATCTTGTCTCCATAAGCCTGTGTTTATCTGCTCTGAGGCAGCCAGCTGGAGAGACCTGTAAGGCTCTTATCACAGACTGATAATCAGTGTAGAATCAGCATCAGGGTTGCTATGCTCCTCGATTTTATGACTGAGGATATTACTGCAAAACGTGTCGTGTACATGGAGTCAGGCTGGATCGTCTCAACACTTCGTCTCTTCATTTTTAGACAGCTATTGATGTTTTCTGTTAGGGGGTGGATGGATTGCCGAATAAGTGTTGAACTACTGCTGGACTGATTATATTAAACAGCTGCTTATCAACATCTTGATAGCACTTAACATGTAGATGAGAAATTATCCAGACAGAATATACAGTCAAGATGTGTGGACTTTTCCATAGTCTTAAGGCTTCCTTTTCTCATCTTCTTCCTCTTTCTTTTTATTCTGCACTCTCTAATGAGTTCTTTATTTCTGTTCCCCTCTCCTCCCCACTCTCCTCTCTCCAGTTTGCTGGGCTGGAGGGGGTGATCACAGCTATGCTAGACGAGTTCCCTCATATCCTAGCTAAGAGGCGCGAGTGGTTTGTCTTTGGCCTGGTGTGCGTCTGTTACCTCGGGGCTCTCTCCACACTCACATATGTAAGTTAAACAACCACAACATATGCAGGTTACTATCAAATGGCAAACATCATCCTCAACCAAATAAGATTTGAAAATAGCTCTAATATTACAGGTAAATCAGTCATTTATCCCACATCACTGTCAGCAATTAAATAGCTATATTGTGATCTGCTACTAAAGAGTAACATAAATTTGAGACTTCATTTAATGCTCATAATTGGTCATATTCTCAGTTTCCATTCAAATATATCATAAACTAATAAAAGGGCTCATGCTGTTGTCAAAAGTATACTCAGTGTTACTACTGTATTTAAGGTAATGTAATGAAATCATGTCAGAGCAGCCTGAATAATCCATTTATCTCCAATCCTCATTATAGTAAGGTACTGACTAACATGCATCCCTGCTCCATTAGACACTCACAACATATTAAGCCTATCATAGTTTTAGACATTTTCAATGAAACCTGTTGTACAAGACTCATTTGTAAATCACTTTTCATGAATTCCTACTCTCTCTCTCTCTCCCTGTGGCCTGTCTCAGGGAGGAGCGTTTGTGGTGAAGCTGTTTGAGGAGTATGCTACAGGCCCTGCAGTCATCACTGTGGTGCTGCTCGAAGTCATCGCTGTTTCCTGGTTCTACGGTAAGCTGCGGGAGTGATGTGGAATGTGATGGTGATGATGATGATAATGATGGTTTGTGACCATATTATGAATCGTAGTTCTGGTGGGGATGAAGGTGAGGGAAGAGTACAGATTATATATAGAATATAATGTCCTCAGTCTTTTGTCTATTTCATCCTTATCTGTGTAGTTTCAGTCATAGACCTAGACACAAGTGAAAAGAGATGAAGATGGACCTTTGATATTTGGGGCTTTGTAGTAATTGTGTGTGTCTGTGTGTGTGTTTTCCAGGCACCAACCGCTTCTGTAATGACATCCAGCTCATGCTTGGTTTCTACCCGGGTTGGTTCTGGAGGATCTGCTGGGTGGCCATCTGCCCCTGCTTTCTGCTGGTGAGGCTCATGTACAGTATTTACACACTCCACCCCTGTACACTAACAAGCACAGGAAGATATAGTGGTTAGAGCAGCTGTCGTATTTACCCTGTAATGTGTGACCTCTGCTTTTGTTCCTATTCCCATGTCCAGTTCATCATCATCAGTTTCCTGGCCTTCCCTCCAGAGGTCAAGTTGTTCAACTACCAGTACCCGCAATGGACCACCGTCCTAGGCTACTGCATCGGGGTGTCCTCATTCATCTGTGTGCCTGCTTACATGGTCTACCACCTGCTAAATGCCAAGGGCACATTCAAACAGGTACAGGTCCTTCCTTTCCTTTCCTCCTAGATGGTTTCCCCCTTGTTCTCCCCACATGTACCCTTCCATCGTTCTTCTTCTAACCCATATCCTGACCTATTTTCTCTCCCATCTCCAGCGACAGACAGGGATTGCCTCCATTCTTTTCAGTTCACTGTCAGGGTCTACCCTCCCCTGTGAACACATGACTGGAGATCAGGATCAAAGGAGCAGGGAGGAGGCACAGGCCAGAGATTAGCAAAAAAAAACCATGACAACTTCCAGGCCCCACAGATCTTGCACACACATACACACACACACTTAGGGCATTACCTAATGAAACACACACACACCTAACACTTGCCACTCACATATACAGACACACACTTCCACATTCTGCAATGCATGTGTGGACTGTCATGTTGCCAGATTTGAGGATAAAGGACTAAAGGAGACCACGCCATCCACTGCACCTAAGCGTCAGAACGCCCGGCTTGACAAACTAAGTCCAGGCAAATCAGCACCATTGATAAAATGAATCATCAAAACTTATTTAATAGACAGGTTTTAGATGTCTGTTTGTTATATTTTGTTACTTTCTGAGCTAAGCATCTTTCATTTTTGCTCCTGTGGGGCCCTACCTAAAATTTAGGTAGGTACTAAAACCTTGGGTAGGTACTAAACCTTAGGTAGGTACTAAAACCTTGTAACAAAAAAATACAATTACACAACAAGTTATAATTATCATAATTATTATTATCATTATTATTGTGTTATACCCTTTGTGAGAGTTGACAGAAGGTAGGAGGACATCAAACGGGCTGGTAGACAGATTGCCTTTGGCTGTTGTCCAATATTGACACTGCTGCTAGGGCACACAATACACTGACGCACACTGTCAACACATGCGAACAGATGAGGCTGAGCAGGGTCAAAATGTTTGAATGTCTCTTTGTTGTAAGACCATGGCGGTGTGTCATTTGTAATATTTGCCCACTATCTCTTGAACTTACTGTAAGTGTGGATACCATACTTGCTCTTCCCGATTCTGTTGCAAACAATGTTTTGGTCAAGTCAGTCAGTCAACAAAAAATTAAATCTGCAACACTTTTTATAATTCCATTTTCTTTGACAGATCCAGCAAAATATGACATTTAAATGTCAACTTAATTTTTCACTGTTGTTGGACATTTTGTAGACCAAACAACGGATCAACTAATCTAAAAGATAATTGGCAGACAAATTAATAATGAAAATAAATTATTATATATCTATTTCATCATTTCTGAAACAATGCATATGTTTATCAGTCCTTGTAGTTTTTATTCAATAACAAAATTTTCAAAGATATTACATACATCCTTACATATATCCTTGTCCACTGATAGTGGTTTATATATGAATCACTATAATTTATTCTCTTTCCTTTTCTTTCCCCTTTGTCTGTATCTTTCTCTTTACTCACAGCGTCTGTTAAAAAGCATCACTCCAGTGCCCAGCAGTGACGACCACAGAAACTTCATCGTCACCAATGCAGTCTGACCAAACCCTGACCGAAAGAAGATGCCACTCGTAGAGGGCCCTCTTCTGGACAAACTGCAAAACTACAGGACAAAGGGGCTACCTTTCACCGTCTTTGCCTCTTTTCTCACATCTTCTTCACTCATTTGTCTTTCTCATGCTAAGATCTAGAAATGGAAGTGGAGTTAGGTGGAGCCAGGCTGCGGTAGCTTTGTTTACCTTCGTTTGGTTTGGTTTTTTAAGCCGGTTCAGTTTCAAAGGAGTTCTCTGGATTTACTCACAAACCCAGAGCCCTGTTCATATTCCCATTTCCTGCACTTAGAAGCATCACCGTAGTAAATTAGTGACCAAACTTTTCTTCAGGTAACACAGCCGTAGCAAATATTTTATACAGTTATACAAAGTATGATACAATCTGTGTTCATGTAGACAAAATAACACGCACTCAAGCTAGAGATACTGCACATTGAAATCAGCTGGAGAAGGACAGATAGTTACATTTCAATCCACTCTCTCTGTTTATGGTTGTACTTTCATATTATGCTGTTAAGTTATGCATTCTGATATGTAGCAAAATTCAGGTATCTTTTTACATCTGTTACTGAAGCCAAATATATGATATCTGTTCTGTTTGTATTTCTAAAGATGTTTCAATATTGTCCTTATGTTGTGTTGACTGGCATGTTGGACAAACTGCGGATTTGAGTTCTCTACACTGTGAAGCCCTGTCTGGTAGCGACAGGAGTGTGTGTGCAAGTGTGTGTTTGTGTATGTGTGTGTGTGTGTGAGAAGGAAAGACTGTTATAATGTCCAGTGGAAAAAGATTCACAGACAGAACCAACCATGTGTATTCATTCTATAACTGCAATATAAGATGTGTATTTATTTTATAATGTATCATGGCTATCATTTTGACTTCCCTCACACTTCAACCATTACATGACATAGAGCTGATGGTCCATGTTTTAATCTCAGTGACATTCTGCACTCTGCTGTCTTACTGCATAACTGTCAGTAATAGAAACCAAATATGGATCAGAGCTAATAACATTATCACTGTCATAGTCTGAAAATCAGCGTTACTGCTCTTTACTTTCTACCAAAAAATTGTGTGTTTGTGTGTGAGAGTGTATGTATCTGTGTGTATGTTGGAGCAAGGGTTAAAATATGGCAAGTACTGTACATCTACATGTGTATTTACTAGTCAGTCTGGTATTGGTGTAATCTATCCTGTGAATACCTGTCTCCTCCCGCCATGGATGTGTGATTGTGTGTGTTTAGATCTTGTGTGTCAGTGTGTGTGTGCACACTTTGGTTAGTATGTCAGTGCACACGTGGATGGTTGTGAAAAAAGAATTAGAGGTGTCCAGCTCCTTTTATGTGTGCATGCTGTGATATGTGTGTATACTGTACTTCAGTGTGTGTGTGTGTGTGTGTGTGTGTGTGTGTGTGTGTGTGTGTGTGTGTGTGTGTGTGTGTGCGCGCGTGTGTGTGTGCGTGTGTCTGTGTGAGTGTGTGTGCATGCATGCGTGCGTGTCTGTAATGTGATTTCCTGTTGTCTTGTTAATGGCCAAAATATCTTATGAAGGAAGTAAACTCCCTCTTGCCTCTCTCTCTCGTACCTCTCAAGCTTATGTAAGATCTATATATGTCAATAAAAGACTGTATTGAGAAATACACCTGTATAAAATAAAGATATATAAATATATGGGAAATAACAGATAATAAAGATATATGGAAATAAATAACCTCTGTCATCTGTGTGTTGTATTTATTAGTCAGTCCAGACTTAACACGAGGTCAGAATTCTTATCCAGTCATCTAGAAACATAATGAACATAACTGTGAAAGATGTTTACTGTAAAATGTATATATACTACTGCAATATACTACAATATACTTTTAACTACAATACTGATATTAATCTATGGACCAGCTGTGTAGATATTCATTCACATGTGTTTTCATACACTACATACCACGCCTGAATTGATGCTGTAATTACTAGCTGACCAAAGGATCTACTATTGCATAACATTTAATATCACCACTAGAGCCAGACTGATGTGGGATTTGACACCGACACATAAGATACTCAAACATTTTTTACATATTTACCCTCTGTAATGAAGGCATGCATTGAGGAGGACATGCCACAGCCAAAAAAGTGAAACCTCTCTGTTGGACAAACTTTGTAATGGCAACGCTGCCTCCAAATCATCCCAAAACCTTTTAAGGCATTTCTGCACGGGTGGTTAATTAATTATATAATACATATATGCAACAGGCCCACATGGGCCAGCATTTTGGTCTGGTCTTGGCAGCTCTTAAAGGGGTAAGTTAAGTGATTTCCCCCTTCCATGAGTAGTATTTGTCCATATTTTCATTCAATACAACTAGTTTTAAAATGGCTACATACCACAGCAGCTGAGGGAAATGACTAACCTTTACATCATTTGCTTTTTTTTAAATAAATTGTTCTGACAGCAAGACAGAAACCCGCGGAACTAGATCAGTAGGTTCTTATCCAAGTAACACTGCTGTGGCAAATGGGCACTGTGGAGCTGCTTGTGAGGTTGCTCTGTCTGTCACTGTTTACCGTTACTGTGTTTATAGAGAGTAACAACTCTATTAGCTGTCCTCAGTGACTGTGTAATGAGCTGCCAGCTTGGATCTGGCATACAGCTCGAGTGAAACAGGACAACATCTGGGATGCAATGTTTTATCTGTGCAAAACATATGGAAACAATTACAGCATACTCAGTTATGGAAAATCATGTTCAGTCTGTATTATGACTTGACTGATTTAAAAGCAGGCTGACACAACAACATGAGTCCCATCTTGATCAAAGGTTTCAGCAGAGCACATAATCTGTATGTGTGTGTGTGTGTGTGTGTGTGTGTGTGTGTGTGTGTGTGTGTGTGTGTGTGTGTGCGTGTGTACTTAGGTGCACAACATGATGGTTCCTTGTCATCGCTGTTTAATCCTACAACTGAAATCTGCAATCAGCAGCTTCAGCAAACAGTCCAGTTGTGTTCATGCGCAGACTCACACATAAAGAAAGGACAATCTTCAACGCACGCCATGTGAGCAGTAGCCAATGTACGACAAATGTGCACTTATATATTATGTAGCCAGTGATTGCAGTATACCATGAGGTAGCCAAGAAACTTTTAGAGAAGTCTCATTATTTCAGCATGTAGTTATGCAATCTTTCCACACATCAGCAGCTCTATCAGCCAGGTTTGAAATGAAACTCAGTATGGATATTTATTTTTTTTAGTTTAATTGCACCTCTCTGGATGTGCATATACCTTGTGTGCGTCCACACTCCGAGTTGTGTGCCAGTGGGCTTCTCCTATATGTGTGTGTGTGCGCTTTATTGTGGCAATTTCCTCTGAGCTCCCTTCCCCTGACTGACGGACACATCCTGTGTTCCCTGCCTTGCATTATCACTGCTGATCTATATTAAACAGTGCAGCACAGCCAGCGTATCCCTCCACCTCTGCTGTGCCTGTCATCTCACCATCTGTCTGGCTGCCTGCCTGCCAGCCTCTCTCACTATCAGGTGTCTATCAAGACCTCCAACTCATTTCATCTCTTTCTTCTAACTCTCATATCTTCTTATTTTTTCTTTCTTGTTTTCATTTGGGCAAGCCAACCCTGACTGTGTGATTTTGTGTATATCTATGTGCCTACTCTCATTTTCAAATGTGTGTACGGTTTCCGTCATTTTTAATAAACTCCCCATGGGATCTCATTTCCACTATGATAACCGTCATACTTCATCACAGGAGTTCACTTTGACTTTCCACTTTCCAGAGAGCAGCTGAGTTTGACATATCTTTCAACTGCCTTTCTGCTTGTCTCCCCTCAGTTTTTGATATAAATATTTTTTGACAGCAATCGAGAGGGTCACTCTTTATTTCTGACAGAAAAATCCTGGCATTTACCTTTCTAACTTGCTCCATATGTCCTCTGTCTGTCTCTCCATTTCTTCCTCCACCCAGCCTCTTTGCTGATCCCCTGATACTGCCGCTACCTCTGAAGAACAGGAAATGAAACTCTTTTTTCCTTCCAATCTGTCGCTCCCACCCTTTATCACACAGAAACCTTGATTCCCTGCAATGGCTGTCTCTCACTCCCCTAATGAACTCATTTTGCACGAAGGGAGAATACCATCTTATCTCTGCAGAGTAAGGCCTCTTCTCTCTCTAACACACTCTCCCTCTCTCTCTTTTCTCTATTGCTCGCTTCTCCTGCCTTCTTAGTTCATATAATTGTTGCCAAGATACACTGAGAGGTTCTTGATCTGTTGTCTTCTCATTACAGGTGATGAGATGAGAAAGATGAGGAGCAAGAGAGAATGAAGTGATCTTTAATAGTAACTATGTTCTGGAGTCATTATTCTTGTTTTATGAATGTGGGAGTTCAATTTTCAGTGTTTGTGTTATGTCATATGATGACCATGCACTACTAGAAAGCAGGAGGAAAACATATATATATGGACACCAATATAAAGCGTACACACACGTGGTGGTGGAGTGCAGTTTATTATTCTAAACGATTTCACAGTATTATGAATGAACTGTGGTTTATTTGGGAGTATTAGTTCTGTACAGAGATAGAAGTGAATATTCCCCATCTACACACTTCTGAGAGTGAGAGGGGACAAACTACAAATGTCGCCGACTACGACACGGTTACATGACGTCATTGACGTGATGCGCAAAGGAGCGATAAAAAAAAAAAAAAATTTTACAAGCAGTTTGCAGAAACTCAGATGATGTCAAGTGAAACAAAGGCAGCCAAAATGCCCCTCCAGCTAGCTAAGCTTAGCTAGCTGAACCCCAGGGCTCACGTGGACACACGTATGCTGTTTCTTCCTCGTTGGAAATCGTGGAAATTCGCACGGAGAAATCGAAGCGAACGGACGAGTTTGGTTAACGCGGCGTTGGAAGTTTTTATTATTTGCGCACAGTTTTTGTGGTTTTTGTTTTGTTGTAGTTTTGTTGTTTTGTTACACACACTCACACTCACAAACATACCTGTGTGATGTACCTTAGGGTGCCCTCGGATGCGATCCCATGCCTCCAGGTTGACGGTCGGCGTCCTTCCTCCTTGGACCAGCTTCAGCGCTGATCGACTCCCAGAATCTGTAGCCTACCTGATTCACCTGCAGCAGGTGTGGATCAGCTGACAGGGGAGGACACCTGGGGCCTCATGTACCAAAGCCTTGCGTAAATTAAATCTGAAAAATTCACATGTATGGAACCATGCACGCGCAGGATTCACACGACAGAAAATATTTCTTGAGTTATATATTCACGTTTTCCTGATTGAAAATGAGTCAAATATTTACAGAAGTATTTTGTTTATTTACATCCATGCTCTGTTTTTAATAGACTCTCACATGGAATGAAGCAAGCGTGAGACTGAGACTATCAAGTCTTTTTCCACTTTGCGCGTTAGTTTATTGACAAGAATATATATTATATTATATATATATATAGATATGTATAACAAACAGGTTGGTGGTGTGCAGACGAATTTATTAATCTTAATGATTTCCCAGTAGGGTATTATGAATGAATTTGTCATTTATTTGGTAGTTTTCCTAAGCTATTCACCTTCTAATGTGGACAAGAACCCTCTTTATTACTTTTCACTGAAGGTCTGTGTAAAGTTACACTGTGGATCAACAGACCCTCTTTACATGGGTCACAGAAGGGTGATCGCAGCTGTGGCTTATAGAATTAATAATGGGTAAGTGCAGAAATTAACAGCTGTTCTGAATAAAATAGATTACCTATTACCTCTACATATAGCTGCTTTCATGTGTTAGGCTACCAACTTGACTTTCCCACTGTGGTCAAATGAATAGTCAAAAGGTCAGCGGGTGCATGGAAGATATGCAAGCGATACAAGTTTTAGAACAGTGTATGCAGTTTAATGTCAGCATGTAGAGCACCTCTGTTGGAGTTCCCAAAAAAGAAGTCACAACTATACATTTTTTGGCCAGGATTTGCTCAAATGCTTCTTCCATCTTATAAGAGCCTCTCCTCATCTAAACTGCAGTCTCCAGTGTAAGCTGATTTTATGTTTAATGGGGTCATATCCCCCCCTGTTGGTTTGAAGGAGTATCATGACGTTAGAGTCAGAGCAGCTTGTTTTGAGGAGAACTGACCACTGGGGGGACTGGAGCTCCACAGAGAGGAGGTGAATGAGGTGATCAGGGTGTGGACTCAGGATGGCAGAAAAATAAAATCAATGGACAATGACATCATCCTTAAATTACATTTGACATTTTTGCTAAAACCAGCCCAGACTGGGTGAGGAAAAGTCACCGAGTGAATTTGTATCAGAATAATGGAACATGTCAGTTAATCACTTACTGAACATTTAAACTTTTATTTCCATTTGCACCTTTTTCATAATTGCTCAC